CACCCGCCCACCTTTTTGTTAAAGTTTCTCGGAAGAGTGGTTTCCCATCTTGCTTGCACTCAGTGCCTCCAATGCCAGCCAGGAGAAACCCCAGGCTGCTGGCAGGAGTTGGGCATCTCACCCAAGGCTCTACATCTTCCTTTTATCAAAGAGAACCCAGTCTTAGGCTGATGTCATTGGTTGTTTAGTGGTGTTTTCTTATTATAGTTCTTCTTAACTGTTATTTGCTAATCATGGTATTAGTGTGTTCATTTTCAGAAATTCTATGGATTTAGATAAGTGAATTGGCTAGAGGAAACGAATATACAAAGAGTTGTTTTGGCAGGTTTGCGGGAAAATTTAAAGTTGGCTCACAAATGAAGTTTAGGCGCAATCTAGTTGAAGGAGCCTGCAGGATTACAAAATTCTGCAAAATTGTGGTTGTGCTTTTCACAATGTTACACACACATACACACACACAAACATACACAGAATCTAGTAAGAATGTTGCCCCTTCAGGGCCTAGACGAATTATAACTGAGACCTGACCTATTACTTAAGGTCAATTTGACAGTCTTTACATTTTAAAATTTTCTTTGGGAAAATCTCTGAAAATAGTTTTCCAAAGCAGATGATGAATACTAAGGATGATCAATCTTTTAATTATATAATCATTATATATTTTATACCAAATAGCCTTACCAGGCATGATCACCTACTTAGCTCCTCATACTTGCTTCTAGTTTAAAAAGTCTAATCTGGCTTCTAAGATTCATACTTTTTCTTGGGGAAAAATTTTGATGCAAATCTGAAGATACACCTGAGCTAAAATGTGAATCAAAAGCCACTGGACCCAGAAACAATGTTCTCAAGTGGATCTTTTCAGTCTCATTCCCTGGACTCATAACACTTTAAACATAAAAGCTAATGATGCTCAGTAACACATGGGCTCCCTGGAACCCCCAAGTGTAGCTCTTTCTTTTCCAGATATTCATATTTTCTATTTTCTAGAGTGTTGAGTTTATATCCAAGATGCATCTTTATATAACCATGTTGGGTGAAAATATTTCTAGAATAACTTCCCCAAGGACACACACTGAGTATATTGTATGCCTGAATTTAAATCCAGACCTGTTAAACCACCCAATCTCTATCCTGGAGAGAAGTGCTACCTCCACCAAAGAGTTAAAGACTACTGGGTCTAAATGTGTAATTTATAGTATTCCTTCCTCAATGTCAGGCTCAACCATCATCTCTCTTTTGCCTAATAAAGACTCCTTTTTCATTCTTGCTTTTTCATATTTCTCAAGTACATTTCATATATAAGGATACCATCAGGCTAACTAGACTTCTGGATTGAATGGGTCTCATTTATTAAGACTGGGCTCAGAGCAGGGGGTGGGAGATGCAGTGACCATAATCATGGTGATTTCATGTGGCCAAACACACAATATGACCTGCAGAATTATAAAGAGCTTTAGAGTTAGAAGACCCTAGGATTTGGCAGAACTTTAGTGCTACATTACAAATTTAACTACAACTCTGTTGTATGTGTCCTTTAGCAGACTAGAAACTGAAAAAAAAAAGCCAAATCTTTTGAAACAGAAATGACTTGTATTTGGAATCGACAGTGAGTTTCACTAGAAGAAAGTTTCAGAGAATGCTACAGCTGGAATGAGATCACCTTAGAATAATGATGAGTGCTATTATTTTCATCAAGCGATGAGGACATTGAGACATAAAGACTGCCCACAGCGTTAAGACTTACTATGCAGTTGCCATCATTGTAAAGTAGCATATTAAACTCACATCAAACATAAACAAGAACATTTAGCCCTCAAGGCAAAGAGCCATGTGTTAGTTTCATCTGTCATGGAACTAAAGGAATTGCTGGGTGGAGAACATGCCAGCACACTACCCAAACATATGCATGAGTTCTAGCCTCTCTTAAATTCTACAAAAGGCTTCTGGGTCCAGAGTGAATGAGCTAAGTGTAGAACAGATGCCCAAGGATTAAAAAAACGGTCATCTCATGTCTACAAGCTGTATACAGTTCCATCCAGAGAGAATAACATGTACTGGAAGGGCAGGTGTCTCCCCCAGATGTTCTAAGCAGGCAGAATGGAGACTTTCCTTTGTAGCAGTGGGGGGCTGCTCTCATAGCTTCAAAGGAGCCAGATGTGGCTTTCACATCTTTTTTTGGTCTGTATATTTTCTGGATGTTTGTCCATAGCAAATGTGGTCTCTTTCTGAGATGGTAAGCTCCTGGGGAACAGTGACCATGTGTCTCCCCAGCTTTGCTTTATGACTATCTCTGCGTGACTTCCCATCAGAAAGCTGGAAAGGGGGCACAGTTTCAGAAGATTGATTTCTTGAGACTTATGATTTCCTGATGGACGACTAGAGGCTGGCCTGGCAGGGCGGTGGAATGAGATGCTGAGACACCAATGTTCTCACCAGTCCTCTTCCTAGAAAAGCACGTGCCCAAGGACTTCCTGGAGCTATCCCAGGGTGGGAGCAGAAAAACACCCCAGCATTCAGCCTAATTAATGCTGGATGATGGTGAGAGTCGTTTTGGAGACTGGGCTGGCAAGGGGTTAAAGGGAATGTTGAGTATTCTCATTCCCTTCATTGAAAAGGGTTTTCTTTCCAGGTCAACTAAATTTTCTCCATTATAACTTAGCTCTGTAAGTGTGTCTCCAAGAAAGACAAAAGAATAGCACTCTCTGGTATCTTCCTGCCAATTATACCCCCCACATGGAAGCACTGACTCTGCAGTTTCCCTGGAGAGAAGAGTTGAATCCTATATAGTCCAGTGGTTCCACTCAGCCCAAGGAACCAACCTAGGAGTCAGTGACCTTTAAATAAATTTAGAGGGAGTCTGGGCTCCTGCCTTTGCTGTGACCCTGACATGTCCAAGACCTTGGTCAGAGAGGTGCCAATTCTGAATCTAACTTTCCCCATTGGCAGCACCACCTGCTTGGAGGTGTTTTTGATAAGCTCAAGTCAGTCTGTTGTTTAGAAAATATATCCATGCCCAAAGGAAATTATTTGTTTAAACAAAATAATGGTAGACAATCTGGTAGGTGATAGTGGCAGCCTTCTTTCAAGACACAGACACAAGCTGGAAGGAACCCCTCTATTCAAGAAGGCAGTTTGATGACTCCAAAATGCCTGACCCTACTCTGACGTCTGACAATCTGCACCACAAAGAGGTCATCCAGTCTCATGCAGTCTATTTTGTCTCCCAAACTAAAAATCTACTCTAAGAAGATAAGGGTCATTTCATTTGCATACATACTTTTATCTATCTAACTGTGTATAAATTTTGCACACAGACTGAAAAAAAAAGGCTAGTTTTATGGACTGAATATTTGCATCTCTTCCAAACTGCCAGTGTGATTGTATTAGGAGGGAGGGGCTTTGGAAAGTAATGAAATTTAAATGAGATCACAGGGTGGGGCCCCAGGATGGAGTTAGTGTCCTTATAAGAGGAGACACCAGCGCTGTCTCCTCCATGTGTACATATACAGGTCACTTGAACACACCGTAAGGTGAGACTATCTGCCAGCTAAGAAAAAAATCCTCATCAGGAACCAAACCTGCTAACACTTGATCTTAGACTTCATGACCTCCAGAGTGATGATAAGTTAATGACTATGGTTTAAGCCAACCAGTATGTTTTTTGTTTGTTTGTTTGTTTGTTTGTTTGTTTGTTTGTTTGTTTTGCTATAGCAGCTCAAACTGGTAACAATGGCTGGTTAAAGTCAGACTGCAGTTTTTTGGGTGCAATTCTTATCTTTTGTACAATTTGTTGTGTAATTCTCCTCTTTTAATATCTGAGCCACATGAGTCAAGAGGAGGAAGCAGTGGTATTCCTACAGTTCCTGCTGCAGCGTAGACACTATTAATCACAGCTATCTAAGCTCAGAATGTGGCTCTCTGATCCTTAAAAATATTCTATTAGTTACTTATTATTATTAAGTTTCCTTGCTACTTAAGCTATTATAGTTGAAGTAGATTACAGTGTCCACAGCAAAGAATCCTGGTCAGCAGTGTGAATATATTTGGAAAGATAGGGATTAAACACGTTTCTTTATTGTAGGACTTCTCAGGAGATAATATATATATATATAAAACATCTCCTAGAGGAGACAGAATGGGTGATAGTATCATCACCTAATTCTATGGAGCCATCGAATGATTACATCCTCAAATGGTTCATCCTTACAAGGGGTTTGCAAAGAACTCAGAGATGGTACAATTTTTTCTGTCCTCCTAAGCAGAATTGGCCTTAGTCTATGAGTCAGTTAACCCTGATCATTTCTGTTATCCTGGCCCTCTGATGCTAGGATAGCTAAAAATATTCCCTGAAACAGATTCTTCTTTAACACCAAAAAGGCTGAAGGGTTATATGTTTTTGTTTTTGTTTTTTGACCTGAAAGTAGATTTTCACTTGCTCTTTTCTTTTAGGTTCTGTGTCTGTGAGTCAGTTTTTATTTTCATGACAAAATTTAATTGAAAGAAGCCCTTCTATAAAACTTGTATAAAAGCATGTGAGAAAAGAGAGAATCCACATGAAAACCCATCCTGTCTTTCACTAATTATTCATCCTTTCCCCACCTATGATCATGTATTCCACAATCTTAGAGATTATCCTAAATGATAACATTATGTTTTAAACATTTGCATAATCTATGCATTATATTGAAAATTTCTTTTACTTATTCACTGAGAAAACAATAACTTAAAAATATTAAGCTCTTTAAAATCGGAAGTACCTGATTCCTTGCTTTGCCACTCACTGTACTTCAGCAAGTGCTTCATCTTTCTAAGCCTCAAACATCTCAACAGAGACTGGCAAATAAGATATGGGGGGAAACCCTGACTCACAGGCCAAGTTAGTGGAGGGAGGAGTAAATAATCAAGCCCTGCTAGTAGAAGCACGAAAACTCTGCTGCAAGTCTGGTACTACTGGGTGAGGCCCTGGCAGCAAGGACAGGGGAGAGTTCATTACATACGGGACTCCGATCTCAAAGATGTTGTTCTGGATCAGCTGCTTCCCCAACATGATGATGCTGAGCTGGATGCAGAGCTCCATAAGGCAGCCCCCGGGAGCACACTGCAGGGAGGAGATACAGGAAGGCGCAGTTAGAGCCAGTGGAGCTCAGAGAAGCAAGGGCATGAATTGAGCCATGGTGTGATGGGGACAAGCATGGGGTTGGGAGTGGCCAATAGACCACGAGCTGAGCAAGATACACCAGTGCTGTACTTGCCTCTTCCATGCGGTACCCATCGAACACGTAGACATAGCTTCCAGGTCTTCCCACAAACCTGAAATTAAGAAAATGGAAAGAGTTAGAGAATGAGAAAGACAAGGCTGCTTGAGGGTAAGCCTTCCACATGGAATAGTCACCACTCAAAGTCCTTCTTGAAAAGTACTGGCCAAGGCAGGTGCAACATTGCCCAGGGATATGAGTTCAGGCCTTTTACCAGTTAGTGATCACCTATCACACCTAGGGTTCACCTGTTAAAATGATCAAACTCCAAGAGAAAGGGGCTAAGGCTAGGTCTGGTGTGAGGCTAGGAAGGTTATAGTGAGTGCATGTGTGTGTCGTGCACGCATGTGTGTGTATGTGTGTGTGCATGCCAATAACTTCTGAGTCTAAACACGATGAAGTTTGGATTGTACTGTCTATGGACCTTCATCCCGTAACTAGTGTCAAGCATTTAGTTCTGATCTCAACACCTCAGTGAGGGCTCTGGCTTCCTAGTAAATGAAGGATGAGTTGTACTAAAGTTGCAAGTGTAGATTCCTGGGGTCAGGGAAGAAAAATCTAAACTTGGGGCCTCCCCGGTGGCGCAGTGGTTGAGCGCTGGGCTACGAAGCTGCCCGCAGCCTCTGCAGCACCAATTCGATCCCCAGCTGCCTGCGAGGGTCCCACGTGGTGCACAGACCTCTCCTGCCATGCCTGCTGCTCCCCTCAGCAGTGTACTTCGTCAGTCTGCCTGTTCTGCTCCCCGCTCTGGCTCTGGTGGATTCTCTTACATTCCCGCACTTCTGACTGTACCCAGTGCTTGTATAAATAAATAAATAAATAAATCTTTAAAAAAAAAAGAAAAATCTAAACTTCTCACTAAAAATATTCAAATGAACAGAACAACTCTGCTTCATCCCTTTTCTAAGGCTTGAGGGTCTAGTTTAATGGTATAAGAGAAGACTGGGCAGGAGGGTGAAGCAGAAAAGTAAGCATCAATCATGGAACCTAAAAATCAATCATGGAGACAGACAGGTAATCAGAAGAATCCCACCAACCAAAAGTCATTCCCTCACCCACCTGTTGAGATCCTACTCATCTATTTAAGGCTCAGGTTAAATCTTTATTTCTCTGTGAAGGCTTCCCCTTTGTTTCTGTTCACTTCCTTCACACCTCTTAATATAGCTCTTATTGCAGACACAGTGTTGTTGACCCAGCCTTTCACTGTGCCACAAGTTTATCTAAGGGCCAGGGCCCTCTACTTTGGCCTGAAATATCATTTGAATGCAATTTACCATTTATAGTAAATGAATATACTTTTTAATATGCAGAGTCTCTTCACTACTATAATTTCATTTAAGTCAAGGACAGAGGTCCTCCTGGGCAGAGTGTTGTGGTTTTTGGGTTACAATCACATTTACAAGAAATTATCAAATGTGGCTGATGATAGTTCTTACTCTCTATGCCTGGTTAATAGGCTTTTAGTTCTCAGAAATCTTTCCTGACATAGTTGATGCCTATAGGAAAATCTCCTTGCAGGAAGCCAACTGATCTGATCATACAAAGTATTTATCAGAAGTGATTTTAAAACCAGAGCCACTGTCCTTGGTTCCTGGGAGGAAACTCTAAATCCTTGGAATTTCCCATTAGTAGTATCTTTGTTATTTATTGTGGGCCCCAAGGACTATACTTAAGTATAATGATATCAATCAGGATGGGGGGAGGAGCAGGGAAGGGGAGCCACAATGCCAATGCCACAAAGGCTAAGCATGTGCTACAGGGTTAGGGCACAGACTCACATAACAGCAGCCTGATCTCAAGGGGAGGGTGGAGGATTAGAGATTGATCTCAACGCCAAACACATTATTCAATCACATTTATGTAATGAAACTCCAATAAAAATGTGGGACACTGAAGCCAGGATGAACTTCCTGGTTGGTGATATATACTGATGTACCGGGAAGCTGATATGTCCTGAGGACACGAAAGCTTCTGTTTAGGACTCTCCTGGTCCTCATCCTGTGTGCCTCTCCCAATTGCTGGTTTGGCTTTGCATACCATTGCTATAATAAAACTGTACTTTTAATTACAGTTATGCCTGTAGCTGCATTATTCCTGAGTTCTGTGAGTTATTTTTGTGAATTATTGAACCCAAGGGGTTAGTAGCTATAGCCAATTGGTCAGGATGATGAGTGACCTGGGAACCTCAGAGCTTGTGGCTAGCATCTACAATGAGGATAGTCTCAATCTGTGAATTCTGCATTAACTCCAGACAACATCAGAATTGCATCAAATGATCTAAAAGCTACCTGCTGGACATGAAATTCCTTCCTGTATCATCCTGCATCATCCTCAAAATTGGGAGGTACATATCTCTGAGAGTAGCCCTTCAGGATTCAGAGCCAAATCCTTGTAGTGTTTTCCTATTTATTAGAATCTGAAGATACTAATTCAAATGATTTAAAGCAGTCTGCTCTCCTGCCCACCTGTGACTATGCAGATGCCTCTCTTTTTTCTTTCTCCTTTCCATAATAAACCCATATATATACACATATATATATATATGGGTTTTATAAATATATATAATTTATATATATATAATTTAATACCTATGTATGTATATGATTTAATACCAATGCTATATATATATATATATATGTATATATGATTTAATACCAATGTCATTGCTTCATGAACAGACAGTTGGGGTACACAGTTGGGAATGAGGCTGTGAATTGATAACGGGGACAGGCTGACACTAGTGGAGACTCTAGTGAATTCTTAGTGACAATGTGCCCTTCCATGAATGACACTAATATACTCACCTCCCCTTGAAAAAGGCCACGTAGAAGATGGGGGAGTAGGCATTCACAAATTTTAGCAAGAAAGCTTTGAGTATCAGGCGCTCTTCAAAAGTCTGTTCTGTTTTTGGAACCTCTGGAAGAGAAGAGCAAAACTATTAAGCCTGAGAGACAGATTTCTCACCTCACCAGAATTCTGACTCTTCAACATGAGCTCATGTCCCTCAGGTTATGCCTTCCAAGTGGAAACCAAGAGAGCTGGCTCTCTAGCATATTAGAACTGACTTCATCTGGAAGGTGCCAAAGGACTCAACAGGAAATAGGAGACCACTGAAGGCGAAGGGTACCTCACCTTTCTCCCTCGACTCCCTGCCTGTTATCCACTCAGCCATGGTTTCACAAGTGGCCCCTTAAAGGGAGGTCTGAGCAGGCAGAGCTTCCTCCCACCAACCTTGATTCATGAGGAAATTCAGTTTTTATCTGTATAGGCCACTTCCAAAGACTTTACTTCAACAAAAGTCCCTGACAAAAAGGCTTGTTAACCACTAGCGTCAAGAGGCAGCAAAGACTTGTCTTGAGAACCGGCGCATCGTTCCTCTTTCTGTCCTCCTTCATTTTAGCAGGCAACATTCATTTATACGTCCTCTGGATTGGCTGAGACCTCCTGTGTTCACTGCTCAGGTGATGAAGGATCATCAGATTAGTGAAACAAACACAGCCTGAGTTTAATGTCTCAAACTCAGGGTCCCAGTGTCAGTGTGTTCTACTAGGTCCAAGCAGAGAAATCTACTGAGTTTCCCTGAGAATTTCCCTGAGGAGGACCCTGAGAATTACTGAGAAGAAACCTCATAGAGACTCAAGACCCACGGGACTCTCCAGAGGACAGCTCACACAGTGCTAAGAGGGAGTGCCACTGAATATCATTTGAATGCAAATTACTATTTATATTAAATTAGATAGAAAGCAGCAATGAATATACTATTAATATGCACAGTCTCTTTGCTGCTATAATTTCATTTGAGTGAAGAACAGAGGTCCTGGGGAGGGTGTAGTGGTTTGGGTTACAAGCACATATAAGAAATTATAAGAAATTATCAAATGTGGCTGATGACAGTTCTTACTCTCTATGCCTGGTCAATAGGTTTTAGTTCTCAGGAATCTTTCCTGACATAGTTGATACCTATAGGAAAATCTCCTTGCAGGAAGCCAACTGATCTGATCATACAAAGCATTTATCAGAAGTGATTTTACAATCAGGGCCACTGTCCCTGGTTCCTGGGAGGAACCTCTAAATCCTTGGAATTTCCCATTAGGAACATCTCTGTTATTTATGGTGGGTCCAAGGAGCCCACCAAGCAGCCCCAAGGAGCATGACAATAGCTCGACAAAGATAAGAAGTTTCTAGGGCAGATGAAAAGCACCAAGCCTGCACATGTGCCTTGGTACCTGTGGCCTGAAAGAGTGCTGAGCGCAGAGCCAAAGGGCCAAGGCCAGGTGACCCGGGAGTTCTGTGTCCAGCTGAAACTGGGTGCAGACCCTCCTGCTCCCCTGACTCACAGAGCTTTCATAAGAAACATTGGAAAAGTGGACAAAGGACTCTGTTCTCTTTCCCACAATCCCTGTCCCCTCGCCTCATGCACCCATCCTGTGTGTCCTTCAACATCCAGATCATGCTGGATTGTAGTTTCCATAGATTGTCTGTGCCATTTGAGTTCCCCTCTAAGATAAGGATTTGGGAGTAAGTAGTTTGTCTGGGAGGTTGGGTAGGGGAGGAGGTAGTGAGACAGAAGGGAGGGACCAGTCTGTGGGTGCGTCCTGTTTTTGGTGGTGCAGGCAACTGGGGCTCAGTTCCACTAGGGACCCTCTCAGATACTGAGGCCCACCTCGGAGCCCAAGAGCGCTCCCTCAGTGGCCAAAGGTCATGGCCAGACTTGCCTCCCTGGCACTTCCAGCTGGCCTAGGCCTGGCACACTCCCACAGCAGAGAACACAAGGGACAGAGCACAACAGTGACCTCGGAAGGGGGGTGGGGCCGCAGGGCCAGGGGGAAGGGGCTGCCACACTGTACCATCTGCTCTACCTGGAGCGTCACACAGGTGCACGTACTGCGTCTAATGCCCACCTATCTATGTGAGGGAGGTAGCACGTCTCACTGTTGCAGATGAAAGATACTGAGATCAGAGAGGTTTCAAAAGCTAAGATCACACAGCCGGGAAGTGAAAGAGTGAAAAAATATTTGCCATTTACTAAAAATCCCCTGTCACATTCCAAAGAGGGAAAATTGCAAGGCGGGGCCTCTGTTTTCTGAGCAGGATATAGGGGTATGAAGATACAAGAGGAGCAGCTGAGAGAGAGCTACATTTCCCTACAGAAGATGAAAACCAGGAGCAGCAGGGTTAGTTCAGGGCCTAGAAAGGGCCAAAGTCAACAGTCAGCATGACAGGAGGGGTAGGGTGGAGCCGGAGACAGGGCAACTGGCACCAAAGAAGTGTGTGGGAGTATGTGCGGGCGGGGGTGTGAGAGTGTGTGTGAGTGTGGGTGTGGGTGTATGAGTGTGTGTGTGTGCGTGTGTGTGTGTGCGCGCGCGCATGTGCAGATGCCCAGGGAAACTTCATTCATTTCTGCTGTGTAACTGGTAGCAGGACCCCCTCATTTGCCCCTCCATCGAGTCTTCAGTGCCGATGCATTAGAATCTGCTCTCCTTCCCAGTGGTTGGAAAATTCTGGATTTGTTCTTGGGGGGGGGGATATGCTGCGAGATGGACACAGAAGCATGAACAGAGACTGCCTGTGGCAGCTTCTGTAACCAGCTTACAAATCAGAGAGACTGGGCAAAGACCGAGAGAGAGGAGGGAAGGCGGAGAAGGAAGTCGGAACGGGAGAAAGTGGAGAAAGAGAGAGGGAGAATTTCTTAATAGAAATTTGAACCCAAGACCAGTATGTCCAGGGCAGCCAATTCCACGGTGACTTAACTCCATTTTGTCTCTCACTTAAATTTTGGGGAGATAAGAAAATTAAAACTGATATCTCCTTAAATACAAGTAATCAGGTCTAAGGGCCTGACAATTTGGAACACGTTCCTTGTAGATTCAGCCAGAAAAGGGGGGGTGTGCAAGATGGAGTATGGAAGGGCACCTGTCTTTGATTTTCTTTTATAATCTCCTTTGAACCCTTTGTACTCAGATCTCACAATCCTGACAGGAATTTCCTCCAAGTTCTCTGGAAGGAGGATCTGGTCTTTTTAGAGCTCTCTGCTCTCACTGGAAGTGAGCATTGGCTCCCACCTCCATATTGATAAATTACAGGCCTGCTTGTTATTTATTAGGGTTTTTTCCTAAAAACAGCCTGTGCCTATGCTTTTAGGGCCATGAGCCACCATAAATAATGGGCATTTCCAATAAACAATCCAAATCCACTTGAAAGGCCACTAAATCAGCTGGGTGCCCCCACCTCAGAGAAGAGCGTCAATCCAGTCATGTACTCTGCGGAGCCTTCTGGAGGAGGAGGACCTTGGGGAACATCTCACAGGGAGGGAGAGGCTGGCAGGGGACGGGTGTCATAGCCCTGGAGTTCCTGTGGGCTTCTGGATCTCTTTCAACAGCCAATACGAGGAGCCTTGCCTGCCTGGGACAGATTGTGGGACAAAGAAGAAAGGGAACAAGGTGTCCCAGGGTCCACTTGGGATGGGGTGGTGATCTGCACCTCCGGCCATGAGGCAGGACCCTCTCGCAAGGCACAGGGGTCTGAATCTGAGCCCCATGAGAAAATGGTCTAGACTTGCCCTTCCTAAAACTCCAAACCAAGTGTCTTTAGAGGTCAAAGGTGACAGGCTATGAAGGAGGAGAGTCAGTGCAAAGTGTCAATAGCTAGAAGGCACCCCCTCCATCACTCATCTGTTCCTCAAGTCCCTCTTCTCCCAGGCTGATTAGGGGTCATCTGAGAATGTCACCCACTCCTGACCTGGTGGAGCAGATTTCCAGAGAGCAGAATCTAACTCAGCCCAGGAAGGCCAGTTAGATAGAATTCCTTTGCAGAGGCATTACCCGCCCCCCCTTTCTTTTAAGGGTTAAATCTCTGGTGCATTATGTCATGAAAAATTATGAGTACAAATGACCCAGCTGTAAACTGCCTTGGAAAATAATTAGTCTGAAAGCCCAAGTGAGTCCCAGGGGCCAGCTCAGAACGCAGAGTCCCCAGAGCTCCATCCAATCACAGAGAAGCGGCGTGGCCAGCGGAGGATGCCAGCTATAGGCTCGGAACCTGAGGAAAGCAGCTCCTCTGAACCTGTGTCTCTAACCTCCCAGGCAGCAGAGAGAGAATGGCGGCCATGAGACAAGAGGAGGGGCTGTCCAGGTGTACAGTGCAAGCCACAGCAGCCTGGCACTGCCCGGGCAGCAGGACGGGGCCTGAACCTGCGGCCGAGTGGGAGAGCACAGGTGTCTGCTTCTCTGCCTGCCTCTCCCCCAGGGCAGACGAAACCTTTGCAAACAGCCATCTGGTCTTCCCTGCACTTGTATGTGTGTACTGGGGTGTGGAGGGGGCTGTCTTTGTCCCCTGAGGGATTCAGTTGCCTTGTTTGTGCCTTGGTGGGCGGGGGCAGGGGGTGGGAATCATCCTAGGAGAGACCAGCCAGCTGGGTAATAAGGCAGCCAGTGCATTGCACAGGTGAGCTGAGACCCCAGAACTTTAGATAAGGATCAGTGTTCCTGGGTTGCTCTTGTAGCCCCAGAGCTTCTTAGCACAAAGGGCCCTAACCATAGAGTCAAAATGAGGACTAGTTGCCAAAGGCTCCCTGAAACCTCCAGTGTGGCCAATAGCTTAGTTCAAGGTGTTGAACAAAACCCCAGGGCATCTCATTTTAAGGGAAAAAGCAGCTAAACAGGATGAGAGCATCTGGAGACCAAGCCCCCGGGGCAGGAATGTAGCCCACCCCTGCATGTCCCCAGGGGAAGGCATCCTCAAGAGGATGTGTTGACCTGTTCAATGATTATGTTTTTTATTCAACAAACATCTACAAAGTGCCCCTGAAGTGCCAGGCGCTGGGCACCGAGAATGGAGGGGGGCCAAGATAGATAGATAGACAGACAGATAGGAAACAGATGGAGAGAGAGGAGACGAGTGGATAGGTGGGTGGGTAG